TTTACATTCGAGTTGGTTTGTCAATTTCAGGCAAGTGGAAGCTAAAGGAGCTTATCAATGGTAATTAGAAATAACTTGCTGACAGACTGTTAATTCGAACATAAGATACAGATGTATTTTAATATCCTGATGCTTATCAGTTTACAAAAAAAAAAAAAAACAGTCCAGAAACTAGTTCCTCACGGTACACATTAATCAATCTATTTAGAACATAATAATATATTTAACGAGTATTAATTGACAATTCAAGCTTTGTTTAACATGCGTTTATTAGTACATTCTTTCACGATATTTTTCTTTTTCCTTTAAAGACAAACGTTTAACAGTATTGGTTGAGCTGAGATATTTTCATAATTACGTTAAACTATTTTGATGGAGTAAATCTAATAACATGTTTACTTTGAGTACTTTTGCACCGTGTCAGAAATGTTAATTAATTGCGAGTTTATTTGCTCTCCGTACAGAAAATTACCACTTCACAATCTTTATTTCTTTTATTGCTAGTTATTCAAATATTTCTTTAGAATACAATATTATATATATGTCCAAAAGAAGTCTCTCAATAATTAGATTACAAGCGGTTTTACGTTAGTTAGAAAGATTTCCCAATGTATTGTCAGTTGTCAATTAATGTATTGTCAGTGCTCAATACATTTGTCTTGATAATAATATTCCAAATCGAGTTATATTATTGTTATAACTCGAATAAAGGTAAATCGATCCTTTAATGGAAAACGATGCATATATATATATATATATATGTTTGATAAATTAATTTACATTGACGACAGCTTAATTTTTTTTCCCTTGCGGATGAAAGTTATGTTTCAGTTTAGTTTTAGAACAATTTAATTTTTATTATTGTTGGTTATACATACGTACAATATAAACCTATGTTATTTTTTATACAATATAAACTTAATAGATCTTTCTTGCTGTCATTCAATCCTTAAAAATATATACAACGACAGAAAAGCATCTTGATTTTAGTCTCAGACATTAGGTCCATATAAGCTGATTAGTCTGTCTGCGTATTTGATTACTCTTACAAATTGCTACAAAGTTCTTGCAGAACTTTTAAATGTCAGTCTAATTAACATCCAGTAAATATATTGAGGTCAACTTTTTATGTCATTTACAAAGAAAAGCTTTTAAATGAAACACGACTGCACGGGGATTATCTGTACAGCACTGCAAGATCAGGTTAACCTTTTATGTAGTCACATACAATATTTTATTTTCGGGTTTTAATGTAAACTGATTAAATTATTTTTAAATTTCTAGCGTTACAGAGCTGTTTTTTTTTCAATACACAAGGTCAATCTGCACTATCAATTTATAATTTTGAACTAATAGACTAGAAGGGGCACGTATTATCAACACTCAACGCCAACTCTTGGGATACTGCAATCGAACATAGGATTTCATTGTCCCTCTTATACCGATTTTGCGGCAAAGGGACGCGTAACATGGACCCTCAGATCCACAGATCTGCACACTAACTACTAGGCCACGGCAGTCTCGTTACAGATCTGAAATTGTAAAGTGAAGAAAGTAAGTGAGTTGTTTGACAGTTCCTAAAGTTAATGTTTACTTGTTATCACCTTAGTTCACATTAATGTTGAACTGTTATCCTCTTATATCACATTGATGTTTAATTGTTATCCCCTTACATCACATTAATGTATATTTGTTATCCCTTCACATCACATTAATGTTTAATTGTTATCTTCCGACATCACACTAATGTTTATTTGTTATCCCCTCACATCACATTAATGTTTAATTGTTATCCCCTTACATCACATTAATGTTTAATTGTTAAACCCTTACATCACATTAATGTTTATTTGTTATCCCCTCATATCACATTAATGTTTAATTGTTATCCCCTTACATCACATTAATGTTTATTTGTTATCCATTTATATCAAATTAATGTTTATTTGTTCTGGAACTATCTTTTCTGATTTTATCGGAGGTGATTTGTTTCTTTCAAGTGAAAGATGCTCAATAAGCTAGCTACCTTCGCTGTGCCCCCCAGTGGCACAGCGGTATGTCTGCGGACTTACAATGCTAAAACCGGGTTTCGATACCCGTGGTGGACGGAGCACAGATAGCCCATTGTGTAGCTTTGTGCGTAACTTCAAACAAAGAAACAAAACCTTCGCTGTACCCACAACCGGGATCAAGCCCCAAATATTTAACGTAACAAGCCATCAAGCTTACTGCTGAGCCATTGGGGAAATTTTATTGGTTCTAAGAGGTTTTGGTCTCTAATATATTAGTGTTATATTCTGAAATTAGAACATTATTCCTGCTAGAAACCATACACAATACTAAGCTGAGCAGTTATTATCGAAAATAGAGAAATTATTTTTAACAGAGTAATACTCAAAGTCACAAACCACAGCTTGTTTAAGTGCTGCTTAAGTTCATAATTTACGCGAATAAGGTAATTTTTTAATATAATATAAAAGTATTCATCCATTCGCTCAACAACTTCAATTGCCTCCCCCCCCAGTGTCTTGTGTTGCTTTGTGCTTATTTACAAACAAACCAATTTCAATTAAATAAAAGACATTTTTGTGTTAGGTCTAAGACATCGAAGACCCTGAACAACGGCTGCAGATCATTTTTTTGAAGTTTTCCATGCTGGACAAAGTTGTGGATTGTCATACTGCTGTCTTCTTCACCAATGACAAACAAAGCACCAAAAATATCACAAAACCCACTTCAGTAACTACATTAGGATATACAATAGGAAATAAAACATCTAATTTCTTAAGAAGCGCTTCGCTCCATACACACATAAAAATACAATTAAATACCTTCATATAAGTTAGAAACAGGCTAGATGGTTTGATGGGAACTTCGAGCTTGTAATATCATTAAATGCTATGTGAAAGATTTCAGTTTAGTTTGGTGATATCTAGAAGGTATTAAACGAGTTCATTAAGAAGAAGCCTTCTTCTTTTTCACGATCAAAAGTCTTAATCATGCGAAAATCGTGTATGGTAAACAAGTATGTTCGAAAAGACAAAACTTTTATCACGTCATATAACACTTTGAAATAACTGTAAATAAAGGGAAGATAAAATAACACTAATCAGGATTTGAGAAAATAAAACTAAAGATTACAATTATTTTATAAACCTTGATTTTTAGTTCCAAAAATTCTTTCTCCGAGACTTTGTTTGCTTATAATTTTATAATTCTTTAAAAATATCTCAAACAGAGAATTAGTTTTCTTTCAAGATATTTGAACCCTCGATTAATTTTTGACGCCAAATTCGGCATAAAACTTTATTATAACAGCCTAAATCCACCATCGGTTTCAAAATCAACGGGTGTGGAAACTCCTAGAAAGAATTTAAGATATATATATCTTATACTAGAAATTTGTGAGCTACTTAAACTTTGCACAGAATTTATTCACTGAGGATATATTAAACACTCAGTCTATTTAATACCTGTGTATAATGATTTTATGACGCATTCAGTGTTTTTAATTTTTGCCCCAAACTTAGTTTATGATTAAGACTTGTGTTAAAAGTAAGAAGACTAGAATATTTAATGAAAAATTACCGAGAGATGAAGATCTAATTAAAGTGTAACTTAAAGTAAACTTCTATCTAATGAATACATTATTAGCTATCTACTTAAAATACTCAAATTTCACTTATTTTATGATTTCTCCAACTTAAAATAGTTTTTTTTTGGTGCAAAGTTATGTCTCGCTATCTACATGAATTTTGCAACTGGAGATAAATTCTCAAAAATACAAAGATGTTGCTGTAAAACATAGAAGTTCATACAAATTGCTATTAAACTGGTTATTTTAACATACATTTTGCTTGTTTTTTTATAATTTCCATTGTAATCTGTTCCCACTGCATTAAAATAGGCCCAAATTTCCTCTTCAAAGGTAAAAAAAGTTTCCAGTGAATCACGTCCTCGAGATTCACTAGTTTCCGCATACCTTCTGACAAGCTTGAAGGACAAGCACAACCAAATAGTTAGCGTGCTGAATTTTGATGTTAAGGTTCTGTGGTTTGCGTCCCGCATTTGGGGGGTGTGGGTGCCGAGTGACTCATACCACTCTATACGGTCTTAGAACAGTAGTTGGTGTTCGGTGGAGTTGACTAGCAGCATTTCCTATAGTCTATTACAATTTAAAAATTAGAGCCGGCTTGTGGAGATAGTTCTAGAGTAGCCTTGCGCAAAATCCAGCAAACAAACAAAAATTGACAAGTTTATTCACTTTCATCTCCCCTTCCCTCCTCCACACATTTTGCTTCAGACGCTTGTTTTCAGGGTAATTGTAACAAAAACATTTTTTGATTGTTGCTATCATGGGAAGAAAGATAATTTATTATTGTCAATTGAAGTTCCAAGGTTTTCGATATATTTAAAATAAGGGTAAGTGATGTCTATATTTAAACTCACTCCGATTACGAATATTTTTGTCTGAGTTTCGATATTTATAGTGGGTTTTAATTCCTAAAACTTTGGATAATTTCAAATTGCATGTTACAAGTGTAACATGCGCATTCTTCCATGTTCTCGCTGGAAGAAAGAATTGAAGTAGATGTGTAATTCTAAATATATAGGAAAGTTAGGTTTCTAAGTTATAAGCCGTGTATTTATATCAGAAATACTAATTACTAATAATTATCAGTGTTAGAAATATTAAGGTAGTGTTAAGATAATGATTTACAGTGCTTACAATTAAACTGTAAAAAAATAAAAGACGTGGTAAAACTTCTGAATATAAAATGATTGCCGTAGAGTTTAACACGTTTAAGTTTTAAAAAAGAGATAACCAATCGTGATAATCATGTAAACAACTTATAAACTGCAACCTTATCGTATTTTTTAACTTCTACAAATACTAGTTTTATAATAAAATATCTTAAGCCGATATATGGCTCGAGACATGAACGTGATTTAGGTTACACTTAAAGTTCACTCTTTATTATCTCTCAATAAATACTCACCAACTCGTTTTTGGCTTGAACTCATTATAAGAGACTTCGAGAAAGTGAAATTTTATACATTCTAGAACGACAAGCTTATTTCGTGCTGATTACCGAGGTTGTTCTTCAGCTACCGCAATCTCTCGACATCGCCTGGTTTCAACGGTGTCACCTTTCCAAACTTCAATTCGAGAAAATACTCAGAAATGAAAAACTAACGTTTTTCCAAGAAATACAAACTCAAGCCTGATTCAACGTCATAACTACTACTACTATCTACACTACGTGTTGTCCTGTACACTTTATTAAGTAGCACTAACGATCGGCAGTAAAGCGACGTAGTCTGTCTGTCTGCCTGCCTGAAATAACATTCGATTTATCACAGTATAGTGTGTAGAAAAATCAACCTTTTGTTGCGTCCTTACTTGCCGTAACGGGCTAATGTAATGAAAAATATTCCATTACAGTTTTGGTTTTACAAATATCTAGACAAATACTAATCTAGGGGGGGGGGAGATGTTTAGCGAGCTTTGGTGTACTGCAGAGTTAATATACAATAGGAATGAATGTAATAAGCGCGAGTGGGCTTTTGTGTGGGTGTTCGTCTTAATTTTTATTTTGGCCGCAAGAGGATATTCTGTGCACGGAAACTGGGAAATTGACTTTGCTTGACAATCTGTTTACCCATTTCAACTTTTTAACATGATGTAACATTCACATGAAAAATGTTTTGAGGATTATAAATAAATATTAATTTAGAATGTAAATGTGTCGTTGTGTTGCAGAAAAACCTGGAATACATTTACAAGTTTTTCATTCTAAAATCAAAGTTAATATATATATATATATGTAGTAATATGCTGTAATGCCACTTACATTGGTAAAACCACACGCCAATATATATATATATATATATAATGAATTTGGCAGCGGTGTGGGGAAGCTTAAGATCAGAAACATTGATTTTAATTTTCATGATTAAAAAACGTAAATAAATTAAAACTAATATAATACCTAACTTGCTCGTTCGCATAACAGTTCAGGGTTATGGCTGTGGAGTATGTAAATAACATCTGATATCTTATTAAATCAACGTTCTGAACATAAAAAGAAATATAGTAACAAAAGGGTCATAATATGCTTCCAATTTTAGCTCAACAAAATTTAGCAATGTGTAAGTATAATAAGCTATTTAATTTCACTTTTAAACTATTTTGAATGTGACTGTTGGAAAATATGAAGATGGTATAAGTCCTTTCAGTAAAGATCAATGTGTAATTTTCATAGTATTCAAAGAAAGTAACTATTTTTAATATCTCTTCTTAAAGTAAGTAAGAAATGACTCATTCATCTTATACACAACTTACTATACGTTTCAAATTTCAACGAGTAAGACTCCGCACAGTTAAGTGTTTTTCACAAATATCTCAAGTACTCTCATAGTTCATTCTCCCCCTTTCACACAATACGTATAAATTAGTAAAAAAAACCAAGTTAGACATTCACTTATAATGGTAACATTATCAATTTTACGCTGAACTACGAACCCTAATGAAAACGAGAGGCGGTTGTATAAAATGTAAAACTACCTTAAGAGAGGCCGCTAAGAAACATTTCATTGATTCATTCTATAGGTCACCGACCTGCTTATTTTTTGGATGAATCAATATCTTGCAGAAAGGATGAACTAATATAATACACAATTTGTTCGTTCGCATAACAGTTCAGGGTTATGGCTGTGGACACAATGAAATCCAAATCTTCTTATGTTGAATATCTCATTATGCTGTGAGCTTCCATAAACACAAGGAACTTTGAAATACAAATCACAGCATAACGAGATATTCAACATAAGAAGAGCTTCCATGAACACAAGGAACTTTGAAATACAAAGCTTCTTATGTTGAATATCTCGTTATTCTGTGAGCTTCCATAACGAAACCTCAACGTGTAGGTTTATGAAAAATACTTGGAATGTCCCGAGGCTGCGTAGATATGTGTCTGAAAAGTGTTTCATTATATATATATACACATATATATCACCGCTTATTTCAATGAATTTCTTTATCATTATAGCATCATGATTTCCCCTGTAAAAGTGTTTTATCTGTATAACAGGAACAATTTATTAATGCGAGAAGGGTGTGTGTGTGAAGTAGTGTTTGGTAATCAACACAGTGTGTAAGTTAAGATATGAATAAAAGCAATATCACAAATAAAAACAATAAAAAGAAAATTACAGATTATGTACATTAATCGATAACACAAATATAGCTTAATGTTTTGCCAAATAAGGCTGATCAAACAGTGTTTTTATAAATGCCATCAAGAAAACTTTCCCATTTCTTGTCCAAATATATAAGGTTTTTTATTAACCAGTTCTCATAAGATTTTACTTTGACAAAGTATAGATAAATCTGGGTTGTAAAGCAAGTAAATATACTTTATTTAAAAAACCCTTTTCTAGTATATTTAAGCAGTATTACCCACACACAGATATATATATATATATATATACAATGTATATAGTTAACACATTTTTTATATTTCTAACTTCGTACTTTGAGAGACTACCAATAAAATGAAGTGGCGTTTTCCTAGTCGATCGTAAAACATTAATGTGAAGCCCAAAAATGAACCCATGGTAATGAAATAATGTGTATGACTGATAAGAAGCCGGAAACAGAAGTTGAGAGAGGGAGAGGAAAAGTTTGATGGATGGAGCAAGTGAAAAGATAAGGTTATAAAAGAAAAAACTCAGAAGATATTCGATAGGAAATGGAAAAGTACGAAATGAAATGATGTCAGATGAAGGATCATTGTTAAAAGATATTATACAATATATATATAAAAACAGATAGAAAACGAGAAAATTAAGTAAGATAGATGCAGAAAACGCACAGAGTCCAATATCGCTTACATTCTTTATCGTTTTTTTTGTTGTTCTTTATCCTTTACTACTCTTGAAACTAGGAGGTTTTGTGGGTTTTAGAAACTTTGCTTTAGAAGTAAGCAAACAAAAGCTAGCTTTACTGCACTACACGATCACCTGACCATTCACTGCTCGAGGCGATCCTTACGAAAACAAAGCGAGAATGTTTTTTTTCGCAAGTTATGAGTTAGTGACATGTATTAATGTTCTATCGATAATTTAACACTTTTATATATATATATATATATACTTGTCAGCTTTTCAATCTCTGTTGCAGGAAGAATCACACGAAAGAAGGAAAAATAATACTTAATAATTACGTTACATCACTCCAAATTTTCATAGAACTGATTGCGTATTGGCATAGATTGTTTTACTAAAATCTTTAGAATTATCATAGTTAAAATTTTTCTTCTGAATAATTCTACGGTAAGCTGATAAGATACTTTAATGGCAGTCAACAAAATTTAACAGGCTTTGAATATTCATGGTCTAACGCTTTTTTTAGTATTTAAATTTTTCAATGTTTTGTACATTTTCTTTTCTGTGTGGTTTTCGAAGAAAGTTCAGGTGTCACTTTGAGAAACGGTTCTTTACAGAACGAGATGCTACTGTTTGTAAACCAAAGTATCATTCTGAAGTTAATAAATTTCTGAGAAATTTTATTCACTTCCACACCTGTTATATCTTATCATTCACGAAACGCTTTCCTCAGTGATTTTTCTTATCGTTAACATCCCAAATTTCCCTGTAAAAATGTTTTACCTGTATAACAAGAATAACAAACTAAAGGGTGGGGATAAAGTAGTAAGGTATGGTAATCAACACAGTGTGTAAGTTAATATATGAAAAAGCGATGAAAAAGTACAGACTGTGAATATTAATCGATATCAAAAAGCAGAGACTGATGTTTGGCCAAACAAAGCCTAACAAACAGTGCTTCTGTATAAACCTTCACCACTTGCCATTATGATCAAACAGTACTTCTGTATAAACCTTCACCACTTGTCATTATAATCAAACAGTACTTCTGTATAAACCTTCACCGCTTGCCATTATGATCAAACAGTACTTCTGTATAAACCTTCAACATTTGCCATTATGATCAAACAGTACATCTGTATAAACCTTCACCACTTGCCATTATGATCAAACAGTGCTTCTATATAAACCTTCACCACTTGCCATTATGATCAAACAGTACTTCTGTATAAACCTTCACCACTTGTCATTATGATCAAACAGTACTTCTGTATAAACCTTCACCGCTTGCCATTATGATCAAACAGTACATCTGTATAAACCTTCAACATTTGCCATTATGATCAAACAGTACTTCTGTATAAACCTTCACCACTTGTCATTATG